TTTTAACCAAGTTAGTCATGCCCTAACGATCTTACATTTTTATTTAAACTTCAGCATGCAGCTGCATCACAGACCATGCCTTAGGTTTTTCTGTTCTTTCTTGAGTTATGATCTTGAAATATTACCTCAGTGCTCTGTTCTATCAGCCCTACTAGTGATAGAGCGTGGCTCCTTTGGAAACAACAGAAGAAGCTCTATCATTTTTTGTTATTGCTTAATGTCCAAGTTGTAAACATTATCTAGTCTTAAACTGTATTTTGGTTTTAGGAAGTTTTGGAGTGTTGGAGTGTCTGCGCTAAATTGTAGTTGTTGTCAATCAGAACTCTTCAGGATGTTACTGGAACTGGCCTTGGAATATCTTCCAACATAAACAAAAATAAATTTTCTCTTGAGATGAAATATCTTTTTCTAACATATGTAAAGCGTTCTGTTTTCTTCAGACAATCTCTAAAAGATGAGCTACTTTGTCACTGATGAGTCAACAAAGAAAAAGGATGCTTTGTACTTTAATTAAATGGAATATGTAATACGAACAGGAGACGACTAACTCTTAAAACAGTCCACAGAGAGCTCCAAATAATAAACATCCTACTTGAACTGAGATGATGATAGCTGAAAATGCATTAAGTAGACGGAGAAACAAAAACAAATGAAGGTGAGAACTCAGTCAAGCAGGCTGAAGTGGAGTAAACACTTTGTCAGGAAGGTAGCTCATGTTAGTGCTAATGCGTTTTGCATTAGTATGATGCCTATAAAATACTGACTCCTGGCATCAGAGTTAATGACAAAAATCTACAACGGTTTTACCTTATATACACATGCAGGAACAATAATAGCATCAGAAACATTCTTATCTGTTATTTTTTTTTTTTCCAAAAAAAAATACTGCAGCATCTGAAAGAACTGGTAACATGGTAAGTGACAATTTTTGCATAAATGTGTTATGGTTCTGAAGTTAAGTTTTGATCGATAATTGATGAAACAAAAAAAGATCAGACAGTACCAGAAACACACACCAAATCAAGTTGTTATTTTTAGAATGTTGTTCAGAGGACCAGATTAATCAGGCTAAACTTTTAATAAGAGGATTACATATATATGTGTCAATATTAGGAGGATTTGTAGCTTCATTAGCAACTTCAGAGGAAGTAATACCTTCATGTATGCTACTGACTAAAAATGGAATACTGTCTGTGACTGGGTGAGGTTCGTAAAATAAATTTCAGCCCTGGAAGGTTATACAGAGGACAACGGTAAGTGTCTAAAATCATTTGCCACTAGTCTCGTCATCTTGTCCCAAGCCTGTATATTAGGAGGATTTGTAGCTTCATTAGCAACTTCAGAGGAAGTAATACCTTCATGTATGCTACTGACTAAAAATGGAATACTGTCTGTGACTGGGTGAGGTTCGTAAAATAAATTTCAGCCCTGGAAGGTTATACAGAGGACAACGGTAAGTGTCTAAAATCATTTGCCACTAGTCTCGTCATCTTGTCCCAAGCCTGTATCGTTGGCAGTCAGGACCCAGCCAGTACTTGCTGTAAGGTGAGGAAAAAGGGCCTGTGTAGGCAATACCGTAAAGGTGAGGGGAGGGCTGTTGGCTGCTGAAACAGCATAAATCTGCTCTTCAGTGGAGCTTCTGCATATGGACCGTACAGCCAGAATCTCCAGCCGTGGTGTGATCTGGCCTTGAACCCATTTTCCCTGGCTCTTTCCTGTGTGGCGCAGACCTGGTACCTGGGTGCTTGTGCCAGCCTCATGCCAGTTTTGCAAGGGCAACAGGCCAGTGAGAATGCGACTTGAGAAGCTGTCGGGGTGCGCCTGCATCATGGTCTCCTGCATTTGGAGCATTTTGAGTGTAGCTGGTGAGTTAGAAAAGCTTCGAAGCAATTGCAGGCAGCATGGAAATTAGGCCAATACCAAGGTTAGAGGAATACAAAAAGGGCTTTAAACTGTCCCTGGAGCATTTGCAAATTTGCTGGTTGTTCCTTCTTTTTGCAGTAGGTAGAGTAAGGCAGAAGGAAATTAAAGGACTTGTCCAAGATGAGAGTAAGTCATGTTGAAAACAGGATTAAAAGCTTTGTCTTCATCTCCAGGGTTATGTCTTTCTAAACTCTAAAAGGAGAGGGTTTGAGAACTCCTCTATGTAAAGAACTACAGCTGATGCCAACTGAGCCATATAAAACAACAGACTGGCTGACTCGGAATTTCAGTTGCGTCTCACCAGCCTCGAGTCTTGGCAGGGAGGTACAAACTTACTTTATTAAAATACTCATGGCTGCTAGGCTCAGATCTTTCTGATCATAAGATTTTGGAGTGTCCAAAGGCACGTTTCTGCCAACATTTACAGAATATTATCACTTAGCGCTGGTGTAGGTGTTTCAGAAATTCTTGTTAAACAGCTCGAAATGATCTGCCTTTTATGTCCGTAATTAGAGGAATTTTTGAATTGCCTGCTTTTTGCACTGCTGAAGTGGATTGAATTCTTGCTTGGGCTGTGATAAAGATGCATATTGTAACCCTCTGTGAACTGTGGTTTTATGTCTGTATAAAAAGCAAAAGAAGTATTCCATCTTCCTTTCTTCCCACTTGAAATGCATTAGCCTTATTTTTGTCCTCCACCTGTTTCCTCTCTCCAACTCTCCAGGTTTTTAATTTTCATGTGTGGATACCCACCAAGGTGCCCACCAAGTTCTTAGATGTATAGCTTAGCGGTTGGGCGCTTCAGTTTGTGGATTTTGCAAAAGTTTGAAGCCTTTAATATTTATTTATTTATTTATTTATTTAGGGAATCAGCTTTTCATATTTAATACTTCGTATTTGAAATGAGGAGGGTGTGTTCATATGGTTTGGGTGAGAAAGTGGATCACATTGGGGCAAGACAGAATAATTCCTCAGGGTTTTGGGCTTTGGCAGAAGAGTGCTTGGGCTCTTCATGTGATAAAAGAATGAACCTGAATAGCAGTAATGTCTGTAATTTCTTACCTAAAGAGAGACATGAGAAATTATTTCCTTGCTCACAGGCAATTAGATCACTGCTGTTGTCCCTCTCAGGTACTCAGCGCACAGGCATACTTGATCTCCTCTGTACTTAACAATACTTCAGTCCTAAGTATGGAATAAAAATTATCGTTACTAAACCATTTGCTTACTACCAATCTTAAAATCTTCAGCAGTATCCTAGTTGTGTTGCTTTTAGTGCTTCCATTGTTTTCTTTTGCACTTGATACGATTGTTGTACAGCTAGCTATCCCTTGTATCTGATGGCGAGATACGCGGTGGGCTAGCTCTGTAATGTTTCCATCCAGCAGTTCCTTTCACTTTCTTGAACCTTTTCATGCTTTCTTTCATCAAAACATTTTGAGTTCAGCTACTCTTTGTCCAGATGAGATTTTTTTCAGAGGCGATGCATGAAGCTGTTGCTGGTGGCCCTCGTGATGATTAGTTTCTCGGTTTCTGGTTAAGAAGTCCATAGTAGTGGCTGGGGGGCTGAAATGGAGGGAGAAAGTAAACAGTGTATATATAACTATGAGGAGAGGATATAATGTATACTGCTCTTAAACACTGCTGAAAGCACTTGAAAGTTTTTGTAATAATTCTTTTCCATAGATGCCACAGGGAAGTTGCATGGTTGTGAATGGGAAAGCAGGGCGATTCATGAGACTGCAAATGGGAGAACTGGCTTAGAGTCAGAGGCTTTAATACCTGCCTGGTGGGTTAGCTGGTGAGAAGCTCGAGCTTATTCCCATTAATTTTCAGAAGAACTTTTGGAATGCCATCAAGGCTTCACTCTCCTGTGCTTGCGTATAGACCATTTCTATGGGTTTTTCATTCTTGCATCTAAATAAAACCCAAAGTCCTGGTCATGGACAGCCATTAATAATTGCTTAAAATAACTTCTTGCAGAAGGGTTCTAGTTAAGCAGTTATGCTTGGCCTATGGCAAATTTGTCTAGCAATTTCAGTTAGAGAAAATATTTTTTATTTCCTGTTTTTAAGATATCAGCAGTATTGCAGTGCTTTATAACCATGTAATACTGTTGGTACAGCACATTTCATTGTTTGGGAAGGGAGTTGTGACATTATCACGCAACACTTGATTGCTGCTGATCTTGGTCTATGGAGTAGTTGCGTCCAAGATACTGAAGTACTCGCACAAGTAAAACTAATGGGACGAGATTCAGGAGTATGAAGTTTATCTCCTAAATACGATGACTTAATAGCTAAAGAGAAAGTACTGCCTGCAGTACTAATAGGGTAGATCTTGTAGAAAAAATTACCTTCCATGTAATGAAAAAGTAATTTTAAATGAATGTATTTGAATGTGTACTTGAATGAGCTACGACTATTTGCACATATCTTCTGTTGATGGTTTAGATACACAAATAGAAACTACTAAGTTCTTATTACGGATTTTTATTTCATCATTACAGGTGAAACCACAATCAGAGGAACTGCTACAAAATTGTATTTTTGTCTGCTTCCTTTGCTTTCAGTACTTAGAACATAAGATTTTTATTCAGTCTGGGTTAGTCTTGGGTGAACTAAATGCAGGTCAACTTACGAGTCAGTAACTAGCCTATGCATTTGCATTTAAAAATCTTGCTGCTGGAAAGCATCCTAATAGCTGTTCAAATTATTTATGCTTTAGGTTGACTTCGTAGCTTAACCATGATTTTCTTGTCTTCTACGTATTATGGTTTATAGTGATTATTTTGTTTGAGGTTGTCAGAGAGATCATAACAATGTGAGAATGCGGAAGAGCCACATTTTTAACTATCGAACACTGTTCAGGTAAAGCTGACAGTATGAATGAGCACCCTTATATACCTATGTCAGTAAGGGCAAACAAGCATTCCTGAAGCAAGATACGAAGAAACAAAAATAAGAATACGATCAGGACTTTACACCCTCTCTTCTGTAATTGTAGTATTTCAAGATACAGTGTTTGTGTATCATTCTATCACGGGTTTGCATTTCTTACGGTTTGTTTTGTTTCAGCCTCTTGGGGCCAGTGACTATTTGGAAATATCAAAGCATTTTGACACGGTCTTTGTTCGTGACATACCACTTCTTACAATGGCAAAAAGGACACAAGCTCGTCGTTTCATTACTCTTATTGATACCTTTTATGAGCATAAGGTGAGAACCAAGCCTTTCCTATATGTATAGGAATAATATTGGGAGTCCTAAAACCTGACCGATATAGTTGGTTTGGAGTAAGGCTTTCTGTAGTAATAATTTGGAAAACAAGCAGAATGAACGAGCACTGCAAAGAAACATCATTCTAGCTTCACAAAAAAGGCCTCATTGCAATAAAGGCACATAAGCAGGTATTTTTTTAATTTATTTCTGTGAGTATTAAGCATGACAATAAATATAAGCCTGAGTTCATTTGCCTTTATTGAATAGGGATGTTATTTCTTTCCTAACCCAGGAAAGCCAAAGAAGCCATGTCGTCATTTTAATAATGAAAGATTGTGCTGCCGACCATGCTGGAGTAAATTTAAATTTTTTACATTTTTAATCTGTATGGGCAGTTGGTTGGGAATCAGTGCCTTCCTGAACAGGGCGCTGAGGAGTTAATAGGATAGTTACATTATTAAGTTTGAAGGAAACGGTCACTGTAGGCTTTACATGAGGTTGCAGAACTGCTAATGGAATAGTAACGATAAATGCAGCGCTTCATGTGGAGTTACAGAGGTTTCAATCATGGAAGCAAAACCAGCACTACTAAAACAAAGAGAAGTTCGTGTTTAAGATTATATTTTAAAAGTAATACAAGGTATGAAACCCTATCTTATGTGTGATTATATATGCACACACTTAAATATTTATGGAATCAGGAAATACCAATTGAGATTTTTTTTTTTCAAGAATGTCCTGGCAAGATGGTCAGAAAGGCCCTGATTCAGCAAGGTATTGAACTAGCTAAGCGTATGAGTAGTCTCATTTAAATCAGCCAGATTCTTTGTGCTTTATGGTTTGGAAATGGACAGTTTCTAAGAGGATATGCTAATATTTATAAACTAATAAGAGTGTGTTGGAAATGGGGGGGGGGGGGATCTGCTCTAGCTACGTGCTGTCATTAAGAATTGCAAGCAAACAGCTGCTTTCTGTTGCTTCTTCCATAGGAAAAACACAAGTGTTAAACTCTCGTCACAAGTAGCTGCTTGGAAAAACTACCTGAGAGAGCGTATTTGTGGAGACCTGTCCACAATGCAAACATTTTGCCCGCATGCTCTCGACAAGCGCCTCCTTCTGTAATAATGTTTCAGTCTGTCTTCATTGCAGCCCCCCAAGATGCTGTACCTCACTGCACATTGGATCTCCTCCCAGCAGACATGAAAACAGCATCATTATTGTTATTAGCAAATAATGTGCATTTGAGTAGCATAGGTGAAAGCAAGAGTGGCTCAACTCAGCCTTCTGGGAAATTTGGAATTTAAACATTCTTTAGATGGAAATACGTGTGCCGTGCACTTACCTACTGAGAGGAGTCTAACAATGGGGGGAAAGAAAGCATCGGTTCCTAATACTTTACAGCTGTTATTTTAGAAAGTAAAGTTGATTGTGAACTCATTGCCTGTATAGCAGATATTCTGAGTATTTAATAGCAGTTATGCTGTTCTCTGAGTAAAAGTTACATGAGTTGTTACTGAGAAAAAGCTCCTGTAAGGTTAATATTCCAAATGACTAAGTCGGGTAAATCTGCAACAGCAGTGCTAATAAGAGAAAAGGAAAATACCTGGAAAAAACCCCAAGGTCGTAATTTGAAGTTTGCTTTTCATAAAACATGTATTTTATCCCTTTTCTGTAAAGCCCAAGCGATGATACTGTTGCCTGTTTTCCTTCTCTCAGGTGCGTATTATTTGTTCTGCAGTGACTCCTCTGCAAAGCTTGTTCCTGGTAGAACATGACAACGGTGAGCTAGAGGACAACAGAGTGTTGATGGATGATTTGGACTTGAGCCAGGTACATGATATTAACGTTGTCTCCCTTTTGTAACAAAATTGGTTTTGGTCTCATAATTACAGCAGCATTTTAGGAAGAGGAATCAAGTAAACATTTAACTAGTGATTTGCTGCTTTTTCTGCAGTGTGTCTGTCGCTCTCATAATTGCATGTTACGTTATTTATTCATAGTCAAAGAAAATGTCACAATATATAGAACCAGTTTGCATAAGGTTTAGTGTCATTTTGATTGTTAATCATTATATCCGTTCAGTCATGTGTGAAAATGCTGATTTAAGTTTAGCTCCTACGTTTAAAATAGAGAAATAAAAGATGGTCTGTTCCACCTCTTCCTAGACTATATAGGACTGCCTCACAAACCCTCACAAACAGTACTACTTTGCACGTTCTTGATTGTGTTTTTCCTTTTCCCTGTAACCTAGTTATTGTTAATGAATTTTTAAATGATTTGTCTAAATCAGTATACAATTAGTCAACAGAAAAATGAAAATAGGTGGTTAACATGTCATCATGTTGTTTCAAATCCAAATTTTTGTTTTGCTATGTTCCTTCACAGGGTTACCTAGCCGAAATAGGTGTTTTTCTTTAATTTTTGGACGTTCATTTTATTTTTTTGGTGCCCTGCTGCCGTGTTGTATTGTCAAAGCCTGTAAAGCACTCAGCCTTAGGAGTTAGATAGGATGCACTTCAGTACAGCTGTCTCTCACAGTTTTGTGGTACTGGTTTTGTGTATTGTAGGATTCTGCCAAAGGACTCTCCATGTTTACAGGAGAAGAGGAAATCTTTGCCTTTCAGCGTACTGTCTCACGGCTTACAGAAATGCAGACTGAACAGTACTGGAAAGATGGGGACAGAAGCAAAAACCCGTTATAATTAAAAGTTGAATAAAATCACCAAGAAGTAAAACTACAGAATTGGAAGGCTTTTTAGCACAACTGAAATAATAATTGCACTTTATCATCTGGACCATGTTTTCTTTCATCAGTTGTTTTTTGTGCTTAAGACATGAGGACTGGATTATTTTTCTGTACCACCAGCGTGTGGACATGTGAAATTTTGCCTTTGTTTTCTTTTCTGTAAAATAGAACTTTGATGTTCAGGAAGTTTAATGGGATTAGAATTTTTCTGGAGAATTGGTCTAGAGACAAAGTTAATGGGCCGTGCAGGGTTCACAGTAGATTTATGATGTCACATGAAGAGGGCACTTTGTGGTTAATGCGCTGCTTCTGTCACGTACAATGCAGTTTGCACAAAAGAAAAATCAAATGCTTTCTTTATGAAACTCCTGATATTGTATAGGTCCCTGCTAGAATCCTGGAACTCCTCTGTAGTGTATTCTGGGGTTTTTTCCTATTTTCTGTGTGTAGCCATCCGCTGACTTTCAGGCTCTCAGAGTTTCTTGTAATCAGACTGTTGCTCAGTCTGGTTCATTGAAAACTAACGGTTTGAACCAAGAGAGAAGCCTGAGGAGGAGCTTGAAGGTACTTGAAACCGCACAGGATTAAGATCTAAGTAATCATGGATGGGAAAAGAAACTGTGATAAGGTAGGGTATACTGTAACATATACGTGCAAGTTAAAACTCTTCCTAAATTTTGCAGTTCTCGCAAGCCTGGATATGCCGCTTCTACCCCAGTGACATATCTCTACCTGAATTTTCTCAGGCTTCATCTATACCAAGCCTTCCGTTGCTGCTGGCACGCCTGCTCTGATCTGGGGAGAGTTAGTACACGGTACTGCTGAGGCACTTCATCGTGTTACAATAGGAATGTGTTTTATGGAAAAGATGGGATATTAACTGATCCCCCAAAACACATCACCCGTCCTCATGTTTGTAGTTGGAAACTTTCTTTTAGTTAAAAACGCAGTTGTGTCATTCTTGGTTTTAATCTAACGGAAACAAAATACGGTATTGCATTGGCTAATACTGTATTTTTATAAAAAGTCATTTTAAGAGCATATTTAGAAACCCTGAATAGGGAAGAATATTATGCAGATGGACTGAAAAGATTGCCCTGATTTCTTAAGGAGGAGATGTATAATGCACTGTCCCCAAATTTGAGGGGTTTTCTTGGATTTTGCAACATGACCTTTTTCTTGTACTTTATCTGTTATCAAAAACATTCTTCTCTGCCTTCCTTAAGCCCTATTAAATTGTTTCAGTTGTAACCCCCGTCACAATTACAGAAAGCTTTTAAAAGGGACTTTGGGGGGTGGGGAGGACTGGAGAGGTCCTGTGCACTTGCATGTGTTAACGGCAATACAGATGTTTTGGAGCCATGTGCTCAAGTCTGGTTTTCTGTTCTGATCGCTTCTGTTTGCCCTGAAAGTTACTTACACTGGCTATACCTGTTCTTCAAAGAAAATTTAAAGCCTGTATTTATAGTTTACAACTTATGCAACTATGTTGCTATTCCCACAAGGGTGACTACTGTGGAGAATTTTAATGCGTATTTATGAAAAACCCAATCAGAACACATTGCTTATACTTAAGAATATCTGAATAGTTGATGTATTTTTATTTGTATAGATTTCTCAACAGAGGGACTATTGAGATTCATGCATGTGTGTCTGTATATACACACATATGTATACTTAATTTATACATATATATATAAATAGAGATAAAACTAATATATGTAATTTAAGTGGGTGTGGTTCTATATTTATACATGGCAGTCTATACTCATCAGCCTGGGCTTGCGCTGATAACTCTCCTGAAGCTTCAGCCTTGACTTTTTTTCTGGCAGCATTCAAATGCCTCCTGCCTTGTCTGAACCAGAATGTATTGTGGGAAAATGGGAGGTGGTGGTAGATACCCTAAAGCATCTTGATTCTGGGTATTTATTTGCATTATTTTAAAAGCCGTTTATGCGTTTAGCCTGTATGTCCTCCTCCGTCGCGTGGTACAGGGGAAATGCATAATCTTGCAGAACACAGGAGAGATGTTTGGGATGCGTGAGAGAGGAGGTTCTGGCAGGTTCTGCATTCCCACGGAGACTGTCTCGGGCCGGGGAAGTGAAGTGTTTCTCCACGGTCTCCGTGGGTGATGACCGACCTCATTTAACCAGGGGCTCCCTGGAGCCCCCTGGGCAGGTGAGCTTGTGCTCCAGCTGCGTGGGTGATGACTGACCTCATTTAACCAGGGGCTCCCTGGAGGCCCCTGGGCAGGTGAGCTTGTGCTCCAACTGGTGCAGCTTTGCCTATCGGTATTGGAGGCTTTTCTGCAATTTGAGCACTCATCCCAAACTCAGATACCCCAGGTTTTTGGAAGCTCCTAAATGCAGTGGGACTCAGGTATCATTGAAAGCCTCCTGGGATGTAGGTGAGCTCTGTCAAACCACGGGAGGGAAGTTCCCAAAAGCATCCAGAGCCAGTGCTGCTTCCAGGGCATATTCCTAAATAAAACCACAGTGCAGTCTTTCCTTGGCCAGCAGGGAAGTCGCTGTCGGGAGTCATTGATAGGCGCCAGCAGTAATCCCGGAGAAAAAATGGCAAATATTCCAGAAGGGTTTTGGGGCTGAAAGAGGCTGTAAACAAGAAAAGCTACTTAAATCACTGTGCAGTATTTGTGGTTGCACTGCAGAGTGCGGATTGCCACCTTCAGGTCAGGACCACAAGGAGAGACTGATGGGACCAATTTGTCAGCCAGAGCAGAGATCCCCGCGGTAACCACAGAAGCAGCACATTTATGTCTGTCCACGTCCCTGAAGAAAGTGAGGCCCTATATGCTTATTTTACGATGCTGCTAATGATGCTGTAGCATGCATAAAGTCTCTTTCCAATAGCGAATTTGGGGGAGGCTTCTTCTGAGGCCAAACAACTTCCAGGCAACTGGCGCTGGCCAGAATCTGTCACTGGGGCACAACGGACAGCACTGGGTATGTCCTGCCCCAGGGCGCTGGGTCACCTACGCTCCCAGCAGTCCTGTCCCCTGCTGCCTGGCCTGCTCCTCGTTGCTGTGAGACAGCAGCGCTCTGTGACTTCTTATTTCCACGTTAAGATGTTTTAGTTGCCAAAATGTAAATGGTGAGATGCCTGTGAATAAATTATGCATACTCCTTAATGGCCTTAAAATTGCTGGATTTATCCTGGCTCCTAAGTGTAAGTAATGGCTTTTTAGGTTTTTCTTAACTTGGCAAATCCATGTCATCTCAGATCCGCAACATGTTTTTATTTCCCTTTTAGTCATTCAGCAAACATTATTGCCAAGTTATTTTTAAAGGTCTTTTCGAGTAACCTTACTGATGTGGTATGATATTTTGCTGTCACGGGAAGTAGAATCCTTGTGGTTATGGACCATGTGAAATGTTTCATACTGGTTTATAAAGGCCGTGTCCTGGCCAAGAATCTCTCAGCTAACTTATTTCAAATACTTGATTGACAAAGGAATGTTCCCAATGCCTGAAAATGTAAATTACAGCTTCTGTGAGCATAGTCACTCTATCCATATTGACTTTTTATCTTTAAAGCTGTGTTTTCATTTCGCATTCTTGTGCAGTAGCTCTTACTTACCTTTTTTTATAAATAATGCAATTCTGTCTTTCAAAGCTACTGGTTTTCTGTATTTACCTTTGCACAGATCGAGGGAACAATTGCAGTATTTTGGGTGTAACAAGACAGCCTTCCAAACGTCTTTGGAGGGATTGAAGATGTTGCTGTTGTCACTTTTTCATCTAAAAAAGGAAAACCGTTAGTGGCTTTTTTTTTTGGGTAAAGGTGATCATAATGACACTACAGCTGGATAGATGTCACCTATTTTGCAGCAATTTAAACAAGAAAAAAACTGACCAGGTTTCAAACAGTGCTCAGCACGATCACCAGCCATCTAACAAGGAGGAAGACTAGACTCTCCATCAAGACCTAAGAGGATCAAGATCCAGGAGTTTTCTTTCTGCAGTTACCTGGATCTAAATAACCCCAGTGCCTCAGTTTCCCTGTTGCTACAATGGGAACGACGTTACTTTCTTATTTGCTAACGCTGGAGAGCTGCCAGGCTTCACTCATTAATATTCTAAGATGCTTGCTGAGGCTCTGGGATGAAAATACTTCAGTAAAGTATGTAAATAGTGCAAAAAGTAATTTAACTACTCAAAATGGATTAGCTTCCTTGTTTGGGTTACAGAATTAATGCCATCAACTAAACACCGCGTGCCTCTTTGTAGTGATGATTTTTTTTTTTTTGTATAATGCATCTATTTTAAAGAAAATAAATTCTGAGGTTTGTGATTAACACGCTAACCAATTAATGTGATTTTTCTTCTACCTGTAATGACAGATTTCCTATATGATTCATTACAACCTTAGCTCCTGTACTTGTGAACTACAGTGGCTTTGTAAATTCTGTTGGGATTTTCCTTGTATTATATACTGAGAAATTTTTTTAAAAATATGTAATTTTGAGTGTAATATATAACAAACTGAACACTGTTAAATCCTTCTGTTATTTGAGAAGAATTTATGTTGTGATAAAGAAAAATTAATAAATCCAGATTTTATAAACATTTCACTTATTCACGCTATTTTTAGGTATGTTGTTCTGAATAGATAGGCCTTCTGTTAATTACTTAGTGAGATTTTTTTTTAAAAATCTCTGTCTCCTGGGGGCAACCTGGACTCACAGCACTGGCAGTTTCGGGGCACTTGGTTGCCTGGATGAGCTGTAGCACCGCAGGCCGTTGCCCTACACGTGGCTCAGCTTTTGGTAGGTGTATCCAGGGCTTGTCAGAAAGGTCCTCCTCCAGAGGCAGTTTAGGCTTGTCCTCCTTGGTTACTGCTGCCAGCAGCCCTAATTTCTGGTTTTGGAACCTTTTTTCCACCTCTCTGACTCTTTTCTCTAGCACCTTGAGGGTGGGGCGCTCCAGCTGAGACAATTAAAGTGCTCTTTTTTTCTTTTAATTTGGGATTCTTACTGTTCAAGATCTGCTTTCGCTGTCAGCCAGTTAGTTCTGTGGTTAGTTGTTACAGGTTTCACACAGCTTGGAACATTCCCCCCGGGAAGCAGTTAGTTAACATTTAGGCAGGCAGAAAAGTCCCGGCACCGGTGGGTCGGGAGGGTCTGAGGGTCACTGCAGCACCCCGGTGCAGGTGTCCACATGCAGCACCTACTAGCGTTGTGAATGGGAAAGCAAGGCTGCAGCATGACGCTTCTCCATGGATGCTAGTGGCAGATAGTCAGACGGTTCTTGCCGACAGCCAGCCAACAGTGTTCTACAGTTCGGGCTTGAGAAACCAGTGGTGTAAAATTTTTTAGGAGGGGTTAAATTTTGGGGCTATTTCTATACCTCCTACTGGAAACATTCAGTCTCCGCTTTTCTTCCAAAGAGAGGGATCATCATATTGAATATCGAGCTGTGACCAACTTGCTCCAGTATCTTGCTTGCAGCTGTGCAGTACCCAATGTTTGAGAAGAGCATCTAGAAAACTTCCTAACATCCCGTTAGAGATTCACACAGGTTCGTGAAGCGGGAGGCTGCATCCTCACCAAAAGTTGCATGCCTTGTTAATCATGTAAACATTGGATCCTTCTCCAGACTGATTTAAGATCTTTGGGTTTTTTAGCCTCAAACATCCTGCAGCGGTCAGCTGTCAGAGTCCAATTAGAAATCTTTCTCAAAAAGAAGTCCCTTTGCATGCTTTGCTGACTCGGTTCCAAGATACTTCAGGAACAGATGCAGCCAATCTGCCTTTGCAGTTCTGTTTGTCCAATGGCTGTTTCTCTCGTATCCCCCTGACCCCTTTCCTCTCAGAGATGAGCCGTCCCCAACGTGTCCATCTCTTGTCAGAGAAGAGCACTGCTCGTCTTGGGATACTTCGCCTTTCTTCTGTTGTCCTGCGACCTCATGTCTGAGATAGGAGTGCAGGTCTGCTGAGGCTCAGCTTCCCTGAGACCCCTGGGCTTGGAGTTTCCTGCTGCTCTGGCACATGTGAAATAGGGGGTGTGGGGTCTGGGGGTGCATCCATGCCCCCACAGAATGGGAGATGTTTCTGACCCTTGGGTTAGGGCAGTGCCTGCGTTTGCCTTTCTGTCTGCCAAGGAGGAGGACTTGCAGTGGCAGTCCCTTGCACGAGAGTAGAGGGAGGATGGAGCAGATGGAGGATGCAGGCCACTTGCTCCCTCTCCAGCCTTCTGCATTCTCCA